TACATGTTAACTTAATGATATGTTTTAGCAAGAATAACTGTATTTCCCAGACCAAAAGTTTAGTGAATAAAGTGACATTAGTTCTGCATTTTTTATTAATCTCTTTCATGTTTGTTTCAATAGAAAAGTGCTAGGTTCTTACACAGTATCTCCTTCTGCATTTCAACCTCTTGAAATATGTTATTTTGGTTAAAATACGGGAAAAAAATCTGTCCTTTGCTGGATAAGTAGTTGGAAAAGTAGAGGTATTTTAATAGCTTTTTCAGGTACTTATAGATATTCTTCTTTGATATTACAACAAAGCCTGAGTGGTGATAATTTCTTTAAGGTAAGTTGTAGTAAGAAATCTGATGCTGTGTCAGTAAACTCTTAATACTCTTACATTAAAACCCAGTGGTTGTCTTACACTTGGAATAATTTTTTTTTTTTTTTGGTTTTTCTCCTGTACCGGGAACCGAACCCACAACCTTGCGCTTGCCAGGCAGGCGCTTTGCCGCTGAGCTAAATCCCCAGCCCCCACTTGGAATATTTTTGACTCCTGTGATATTGTATTTTGTCGTCATATGGAAAATACTGGTTTCCTGAATTATGCAAGTATTATGCATGTTGACACATTTCACGCTGCACTATTAAAAAATAGTCACTGCCGACACCCTCAGAAAAAGCTTCAGCTTTTGGGAAATGCCAAGCTCACCGTAGCAGATGCACATTTTCTGAACTTGTGATTTTGGCTTGAAAGCTCAAAGCCAAATACCATCAGGTGTTTTTTGTTTTGTTTTGTTTTTTGGTCTTTTTTCTTTAAATAGTAGGCTTATTTTATTCTTTGTTAAGACAATATTTGCCAGATGTCTGAGTCTGTGTGATTATTTAAGTAAAAATAATTATTTAAGTAAAACTGGTGCCTAAGTGAAGAAGTGAGCTCAGACATGAAAGTCCACATCTTCTTCAAAAGACAGCCATGCATTGCTGCAGCAGTGAGGGGCTTCATGAGGACCTCCTGTTTTTGCAAACAGAACACGCAAAAGAAGTTGGTACCGAAGGTCAAGAGTTAATAAAATGAATCCTTTTACTGACCCATCCTAAGTGAAGCCAGCATACCTTCTAACTGTACGTGAAGCTTTAGTTATTCGTACTAACACAAAGGCAGCTCGCCCACCGTGCTCTTGCATTAGGAGTTGCAAGTGTCAACAAAGTAGAAACACAGTTCATGTGACAATATTCTTATCAAAAATAATTCTGACCTCATGGACCCTAGACAAGTGTCTCAAGGACCCCCAAAAAGTGCCACACTACACTGAAAATCTTGTCTGTGGACAAAAGGAGCAAGGCTCCCTTAGCATATTTGACCATTATCTCTTTCTTAGCTTAGTTTTATTTCATTCTGCAATGCTAAAGGTTGAACCCAGGACCACTCACGTGCTAGGCAAACGGTCTACATCTGAGCTGCACACCCCGTCCCAGCCAGCACTCTCTGTAAAGACCTCAGCACTAACTGCCCATAAGAGGGAGGGTTGGTGAAGCCAAAGCTCCCCTCAAACCTATTGGAAGGTGAGGGCTTCAGTATTCTGTGGCTTTGCCAGCGCGGCCTGTGTGAACTAAACTTTCTCTCCAGTTAGCTTAAAGCCTTCCCATTTTTTTCTTCCGTATGTGACTGGAAACATAGAATGCCACATGCACTGTTTCGGCTGACTGCCTTGAACAGCATCCTGTAGACTTTCCACACCAATTGACCAAAGCTACACAATTGAGGTTTTCGTTCTATGGCTTGGAGAAAAGACAACTTGTATTCTGATCCCAGTGTGTGAATACAACACCATTCCTCAAGCTCACTTTCCCTGGGTGAGAAAAATCTCTTTACATTTCTCCCGTTTCCTCCTGCTCCTCAAGACAAATTGTTAGTCTCCAAGGACACTTGTCGTCTGCCACAAAGTCTCCAATTCAAACATCGCATCCTTGTCTTCCTGTCAAGTTGCGTTCTGTCTGTCAGCTGCCCTCTCCCCCCTCTGCTACTTCTTTTCCTTCTGGAGCTGGAAACCAGGCAGAGAGGGGATGGCAGTTCTAAAAGGTCATTTCTCAATAAAGAATTGCCTGGGCATAGTGAGTCCACCCCACCCCCGCATGCTGGGGCTTGAACCCAGGGCCTGGGGCTTGAACCCAGGGCCTCGAACTTGGGCACTTACTAGCAGGCACTCTGCCGCCTATCGGCACCCCCAGCGCTGCTCATGGGGGCCCCAAAGAGGTGCTTGGTGTGCTTCGGGGGAGGATGTGAGGCACAAGGTAGAGATGCCCTTCACCAGACCTTTCTGAAGCTTCAGCTTTTCCCTTGTTATTCAATGTATATGCTTTTACAAATAAATTCCTAGTATCCATAATAAATCTGAGGCCTGGCATACAGTGTGCTGAAGGGCACAATGTTCCATTCAGACGGGAGGGGTGAGCTTTTGAAGTTTGTTGTGCACAGTTTATCGTGTATTTCAAAATTGTTAAGAAAACGGATTTTAAATGCTCTTAACACAGAACTATAAATATGTGAGCTGATGAGTATGTTAATTACCTTGATATAATAAATTCACAATGTGCAGATAAGTCAAACATTACATTGTGCCACGTAAGTATGTACAAGTATCATCCATCCATTAAAAATAAAAACTTTAAATGAAAAACAAATTGTGGGGGCTGGGGATTTAGCTCAGCAGCACAGCACCTGCCTGGCAAGCGCAAGGTCATGAGTTTGATTCCTGGTACCCGAAGAAAAACAAAAACAAAACAAACAAACAAACAAACAAAAAACAAGTTGTGGCAGCAACAAATGTAGGTCTCTCTGTACCTTTAGCTCACCAGGAGCAAAGGTCACTGAATGGGCAAAGACTGCATCCACTTTGCTCTCCTTTTTCTTTATTAGGGAATGATTTCTGGTACAGTTTATACAAGGTGCCATTAAGGCTGTTTTTCTTTTTCCTAAAGGAAGAAGTAAAGGAAATAAGATAAAGAATGACTAGGAATGTTGAGTGGGTTCCAGGGAGTGTTGTCGGCGTTTTAATTGTCAAGAACTTCTCGTTTCATGTGTGGCTGATTATTTAAACTCAAGTGCCGCTGTTTTTCCTGTGCCGTGAGCTGTCCTTTCCCGGTCACCCCTGTCCGGAGAGGTGGCTTGCTCCCATGGCGGGTGCAAGAAATCCCTGTTCACTCACTCTTGCAGGCTTCGAGAGGTGAGCGGAATTTTGTTTCTTAAAGGACTAACACTGTAGGAAATACCTGTGTTTAACTATTAAACCAGCCCTGAACTTCGTGGAAACAAGCTGTTGTCTGACATCTCATTTCATTTTCCTGTCTTCGTGCTTGAATCAGGTTTCTCATGATTTAAAAACAAACGCACCGGAGCCAGTCAATGCAGAGTAACTGCAGGCCTTTGGTGTTCGGCAAGCACAGCAATCATCTGAATGACCCTGGGTTATTAAGGAAAATACACCTAATAGCGCCTATAGACTTCCAGAACCACAGGATCCACTGGAATTGGCTTATTTTTTGCTTTATAGATAATGTAGCTGCCCAGGACCGTCTTGCTGCAGACTCAAGGTTTTCATTTTAAACCTTTTTTCTTGTTGAGTCTCTCTCTCTCTTTCCCTCTCTCTTTCTCTCTCTCTTTCTCTCTCTCTGTACACACAGTGTAATTACAGGCTGTAGAGTGAAAAGCATTAGAACTGTTTACAAAACATCTCATAAAGTTTTAAAATAATAGGGGTGTGTGTGTGTGTTTGTATAAAACTAAGCGATGTGTATGGCAGAGATAAACAGCACACATTCTTTCTCTTTTCAACGCCCCAGGTCCCCTGCAGAAGTTAGAGCATGGGATGACTGATGGAGCTTACACTTAACTAGCTGTGCTTATTGATCAGGTGCCAATTTATTGTTGCAGATCAAAGTGCACATCGTCAGGTGTGTGGGGGACAGAATGGCTGTTGAAGCAGGCCGCTATCTAATTAATTTTAGAACAGTTTAAATTCCCGTAAAGAGGGTTCCTCAGGACATTATCAGAGAAAGATTTTTTTTAAATGAGCCCTTTGCTATCATTCAGAAGTCCAAGAGAAAAGCTTTCTGCAGATCAGTGTTCCAAAGCGAGAGGGGCATTTTTCCAACCCTTTCAAAGTCTCTTTCTGTGCGGCTTTGCAAAGACTTTTGCCGCCCTCCTCTCTGGATTGCACTTATTTATTTTTTGGCGTGGAAGGGTGGCCACCTTGGAGCCAGTCCGTCGTGTCGCCCCGCAGGCTCAGATCTGCTGCAGCAAAGTGAAGCCCGGGGGCTGTCCGTGTCTGGGTCTGGACAGCAGGCAGCCTAGTGACGGACGGTGAGTCACAGGGGCTCTGCCCATTTAGGCGCCGGCGCAAGAGCCCAGGAAACAGGCTGGACAGAAGGGCCAGCCCCGCCTGCAAGAAGCGCCTTTCCCCCTGGTGATTGATGGGAGACACTTAGGAGCTTTTCGGGGGCTGGAAAAGGTTGTTCCCTCAGTCACTCACTGTGAAGTCTTTGTGAGCAGAACAGACCCTGGTGGGTAATGAGTGACGTAATGCAGGTAACGACTGACAGCTTTGCACTTCGCTCTGCCTGATAGGTACTCAGTGTCTTATGCAGGTGAGTTAAGCTCCCCAGCACACCCCTTGCACACCCTTTCCTGCACACAGACACACCGGTTTCCCACACGGCTGGCACTGCCCTGTCCAGGATTAATTTTGCTGGGAGCATTTAAAGTATTATCCTAGTATGAAAGGGAGAATGTGCTGACACTATTTTATGGAGCTGATTAAGAAATACAGACATTATTTGAGTCGTTTTCTAGCCATTCTGCGTGTTTCCTTCTGTCCCTTTTGGAGAGAAAAAGAAAAAAAAAATACATAAAATATGTACACACCTGATACGCTCTTTCAAGACACTACTTCAGATCAAAAATGTGCTTCAAACCCCTTGACTGATGTTGCTTTTGTATTTTCTCCTCCCCCTTCTAGGACTCCATCTGCAGCTGTTCTGAATACCTCCGAGTCTAGAAATTGATTATTCAACCAGGATACCTAATTCAAGGTATTAGCTCTTGTCAGAAAGCTTTTACGTTTGAGCTCTGTGCTGCAAATTATACTTTGGCATTGAACTGAAGTAGGAAAAGTTGGACTGAGAATAAAGGAGAAAAGTGAATTTGCAAAATAATCAAGTGCTTAAAAAACTCCGCAGCACTTGTGAGGGTTTGCTGCTTCTGACTCATTTACAACCCCCTCTCTGCCCGTGGATGTGCCAGTTCTGACTTCTTTGCAGCCCTTTTTGTGCAGCTGTATTCGGGGTTTGGGTTTCATTTTAGTTCTTCCCTCTCGTTTTTTCTCTTGACTGTCCAGACCGCCAGAACTCGGCAGACAGACATCCTGTCAGCTTTGCGACCTTGGACCGAGTACCATGAAGTATCCCTGCCGCGCTCTGGTGTTGGCTGTCCTGGGCACAGAACTGCTGGGCATCCTGTGTTCGACTGTCAGGTCTGCGAGGTTCAGAGGACGGACCCAGCAGGAACGGAAAAACATCCGACCCAACGTTATTCTGGTGCTCACCGATGATCAAGACGTGGAGCTGGGTGAGACACGGGGTTCTGCCCTTGTTAGTCTCTTTGTCCCGATGATTTTCAGACCCTCAGGCTTGTCGGGCACGCGCGGCGGGCACTTGGGGTTTGCCCTTACTTGTGGTACTGCCACAAATACTCCAGTGTCCACAGTGACCCCGTATAAGCCAGAAGGCATTTGATGTGTGTTTTAGCATGACTTTTCTGGGGTTAAGCTTTCAAAATAGTCTGAGGAGGGGCCCAGGAGAGGACGAGAAAGGAGGATGCGGAAAAGCCTGAAGACCATAGAGGTCAAGGAGGTGCTCGCGCACCTTAGAAACTCTGGACCGAGAAGTTTATAAAACATGAGGCCGAAGTTATTTCAAGGACCATGAGAATGTGACATTCTATGCGATTCCTATGAAAGTAGATGCTAAAGAAACGTTTAATGATCATTATTTGTAGAACGAATCACTTGTTCAAGTTGGTTGTGAAAATTGCTCGGTCGTTGAAAGCTACGGCCTTTTTTGTTGTACTTTGAGACAAGCTCTCAGTAAGTCGCCCAAGCTAACCTCAGCTCAGCTGCTGAGCAGCCAGGATCACAGGCAGGCACCGCCGCACCATGCAGCTTACTTCCTTCAGTGGTCCGTCCTACAGTCTTGTCCAGAAGCCTATGGCCAAGCTCTGCCAGTGGACCTTAAGGCGGGTAGATGCCCCACGCTGTCCTTGCCACTCCTGGACCCCTCACTCAGCATACTTAACCATCACATTCGGCTTGAACGTGGGCGCCACCTTTCAGGCTTGGCGCCGCAGAGCGTGCTGGGCTTCTTCACAGAGCTCCTTGCTCAGGTTCTTGATGACAAAACCTTGCATGCTGGACTTGATCCGCATGCCAGTGTGCTTTGATTTCCAGTTGGAAACCAGGCCACGGAATTACAACAAAGTTAACTCCTGGAGTTGAGACGGAAGCCAATGCACAGAAAGCCAGCAGGAGTCATAACTGTTGAAGTTGATTTGCAGAATCTGCTCTCTTGATTCATATTAAAAAAAAAAAAAAAGGCGGGCATTGAGTTTTTTCAGGTGACAGCCGCTATGAAAGGTTGTGCACACGCGACGCGGGAGTGTGCGTAGGATGGTTTCACCTTGCCTGACAGTTGTCTTACCCGCTGAGATCAGTAGACCCTCCTTCCTCTTCCTGTTCTCCTTCCACTCCCAGATTCCCCCTAACTGAGTCGCCTGCCCCCTGTGCCCTGCAGACCTCCCCTCCCGCCCACTGCTTGCTCCGTGTGGACAGGTGTGCTTCATGCAGCTGGTCACTCGGGCGGGCTCCTTGGTGAGCCTCTCCGCTCTGCAGGCGAATGAGCTCAGCGCTGGCCAGTCTCCGAGGCTATTTCCCCGCCCCACTTCCCACTTTTGTAGAAGCGACTTCCACTTTCCTGGAGATGGCTGGTGGCTCCATCTCCCTCAGCTCTGTCCCACACCCTGGTACATCTTGTCCCCTCTACCTTTTCCACCCCACGTGCTCCTCATGACCCAGTTCAGGCTTCCCACTCTCGGGTGTGGTGTGCCTGCAAGATACCGCCTTCTCCAGCACTAACTCGATGTCCTTTGAGCTCCTGCGTGTGCCTCCAGCCTGGCCGCATTCCACCGTCCTCTCCCGTGCCTGACCCTTCCACTTAACTGCGGGCCACTAGAGGGCGGGAGTCTGTTTCTCTTTTTCTTTTTTTTTCTTTGAGGCGTTGTCTCACACGAGTGTAGGCTGGCCTTGAATTCACTACGGAGCCCAGGCTGGCCTTGAGCTCACTTCGATCCCACAATGGATAACCCATCTGATCAGGAGCCTGTATTCTTTATGTGGCAGTCTCCACGTTGCAGTTGTGCTGGGAATATAGTAAGGGCTCCAGATTCTTGAGAGAGACCCACGGGGCCTGAAAAAGGCTAATCGAATTCCCACAAATGAGTGCAGGTATCCATGCCCGTTGTGAACTACTTTATCAGTAAGCAGCACTGTCTCTGAAAGTAGATTGAGGAATTATTGCAGAAAAGTATTTTTAGCAAAATTCTAATTTTCAGCCTTGTACTATAGCACATTCATTAAATATTTGTGGAGTAATCACAAGCACTGGATTCCAGTGGACACGAGTAAACACAATGGTGAAGGGGTGTAAACCAGGCTCACTCACCCCAGGTGTTTGCTACACACTTGCCTTTTCTTCCTTCCTTGGTTTTTCTAGTCAGAAAACAAGCCTTCCAGGTAACTCTATGAAATGGTCTGCCTTACTTTCCTCAGTATTTATGCATAAGAAAACTGAAGCAAGGTGGGTGTGGTGGTGCATGCTTGTAATCCCAGCACTCGGGAGGCTGAGGCAGGAGGATCGTTGAGAGTTCAAGACTGGCCTGGGCTACAAAGTGAGCTCAAGGCCAGCCTGAACTGCATATCGAGACGTTATCTCGAAAAGACAAAGAAAAAAGAAGCCGGGCGTGGTGGCACAGACCTGTAATCCCAGCACTCAGGAGGCTGAGGCAGGAGGGTCATTGCAAGTTCAAGACCAGCCTGGGCTGCAAAGGGAGCTCAAGGCCAGCCTGAGCTGCATATCGAGACCCTGTCTCAAAAAGACAAAAAAAAAACAGGCTGAGAGAAGTCGGTTACTTTGTAGTAAGCTAGTAAACGGTGACACCAGGACCTGTGTTAGCTACAGTCTCCAAAGCACACAGTTAACCATTTGGCATTCTGTCAGTCAATCCACCAGCGAACATTTAGTGAGCTCTTACTAGAAACAACCTGTACGTGCATCATATTGCTCTAGGTCCTGGGAGAGAGAAGGGGCGCTTAAGAGGGCCCTTACTTCCTCAAAGGCGTAACAAGATGACTGTGAACCAAGCAGTCCAAGGGTCAGCGGTTCAGAGATCTTAGCAGAAATGGGATGCTTTTGGAGTGGTTACTGCTTGATGCAGTTCTTTGCCCATCATTCTGTAATATACTCCTAATCCTTTTCAAACCTTCTGCTCTAGATTTTGGTGTTTTTTTATTTTTTTACCATCTTAACCATTTGTAAGCAAATAGCTCCATAGTGTAGTGTTAAATATATTCAGAATTCTTTTCATCATACAAGACTAAAATTCTTTTTTTCTTTTTCTTTTTGCATTTTTTTTATTTTAAAAATAAAAGGAGGAAAATATTAACAGACAGTCGACATTTTACAAAATAGCAAAGGAACAGTACAGAGTTACAAACAAAGTGGTAGGGAATTAACAATGCTTGTTGTATTACATATTGATACCTTCAAAGTGGTTTCTCATGAAAACAGATATAGACATACAAAGCTGATCAACCAAGGACTCATTGACAGTTTCTTTCAGCAAAGAAATACAAGACAGTAGAACAGCCATGTTAACTATCTTGCATATACATACATATAAACTTTCTCCTTCTTTGCCTTCTCTTTTCCCATATCCCAGTTATCCTTTACCTTTGAGTGCTTTCCTATCAATTTACAATGTCTATCGTATCTCCTAGTTTAAATTTACTCTTTCAGTCTTTACAAGACTAAAATTCTATACCCACTGAAGAACAACTCCATCTGCCCTTGCCCCAACTTCTGCCCTGTTCTGGGAACCCTATTCTGCTCTGTGAATCCTACTAATCTAGGTCCCTTTTATAGGTAGAATCACACAATATTTGTCTTTTTATGACTGCTGTGTAGCAACATAGCATAGCAACCTCAGGATTCCATCTGTGTTTTAACAGCCCTTATTAGGGCTGAATAATATTCCCTTCCAGGAGTATAATATGTACCACATTTTTTCTCCATTCATTTAAAGTTGAAAATTTGAATTGCTTCCTCATTTTGGCTGAGGTAAACAACGCTGCTATTAATATGGGTGTGTAAATGCAATATATCTCTTCAAGATCCTGTTTGTAATGCTTTTGCAAAGGAAAATCCTACCCAAAAGTGGAATTTCTGGAGTCTATGATAAATTTATTTTTAATTTCTTGGGGAACCACCTTGCTGTTCTCCATAGCAACTGTAACATTACTGATTCCTTCCAGCCATGTACATGTGTGAAAATTTCTCCACATCCTCATCAGCACTTGTTATTTTGATTTCTTTTATCTGTTTTCTAGTAGCCATTCCAATGTGTGTGAGGCAGCATTTCTCTGTGGTTTTGATACTTTGGGTTTGTTATGTGTTTTACTTACATGTAATTTTGTTTGCCAAGTGCTTCCACAGACCTTTGCTTATGTAAAATGTTTGCACCTGTACTGCTGCAGGCAGTTTTGGCTTCTTTACCTCCAGAAGACTACAGCAGACTTAGAAAAGACTTAGAAGAACAATTATACTAAATTTTAATAGAACATTTTTCTTACTGGGAAAGAATGAGACAATTCTACCTCTTTGTCTGGAAAGACAAAGGGCGAGCAGAGCTATAATCAAAGTTTATGAAATAAAGTTGAGAAGGGAAGCAGTTGTTCAGTATGAGTGGAGGCCACTCCCTCAACTTTAAGGACAGCTAAAATAAACTAGTACTTTGTGAAAAGAGCTAGACACATAAGGAATTCATTAATAGCAGTGCTAGAACCTTCCATGTGGGTATACTTCATCATTTTCCAAAGAATATTCATTCACAATGATGTGAATGAACATTATCGTCCCATCCAAGTTGGGTGGATAAAACCAAAATCATTATCCCAGAGGGAGAGAGTCTGTGGAAAGCTTCATGACTCACACATGGGCCCCTGACTTCTAAATTTACTTTTGCCAGAACTTAAAAAGCAGTTCCTCAGGTTGTGCCTTCATCCATAAATAGTTCGAGTTTGTAGGCCAAGATAATGAGTGAAAGACCCCCTCCATTTTTTTTTAAACTAAGAAAACACGCATGGAAGCGACAGATACAAAGTTCACAGCAGTGGTTACTTCTGAGGCAGGAGTGATAACCAAAAGCATCTACAACATCCATATTTGATCTTAACATTTCAATATTTGCATACTTACGTGTCTGAAAGAAATACAGTCATGTTTCACTTGCTGACAGTA